CCCTCGAGACTGGCAAAAATGTATCTGAACTTAAATCCAAACTGTTGGAAATGTAAACAATCTTCTTTGATGCATGGTGGTTATGCCCAAAAGCAAAAAAATATTGGACTAAAATGCAAAAATGGTTACAGGAAATGACAAACACCCAAACAGAGAGTTCAAAGCAGAATTGTTCCTTCTGGGGATTATTAAGGGAAAATATACGAAAGAGATAAAATACTTAATTTTGCACATAATTACAGCAGCGAGAATAGCCCTCGCACAATGCTGGAAGAATGATACTATGTTGACAGACTATTTGATAAAAATCAAAAGATTCTTGATTGTGCAGAGATGGATCGACTCACACTGGAGTGAAGGGACAAGGAAAACTCAGAATAGTATACAGTTTGGGAAAACTGGTATCCACGGATAAATAATAGGAACATGAAATGTACAGCTTAGAAGCCTAGATGTATAGATATAGGAATAATTAGCAACGTATTTTAATAGTAAATGGTTATGTTAGTACTGTCAAAAAGGATTGTGACTTATACAAAATTATTTTTAAAGGTATTTGTATTTAATGTTATAAATCCTCAGTAAAGTTTTTTTCCCCTTGAAAAAGAAAAAAGAACTGCCAGCTGTTTGTGCTACCTGTGTGCCGTTGCCCTGAGTCCTCACCCCTTCCTTCCTATCATCGTAGGGTCTGTTGAAGAAACACGAAGCGTTTGAGTCCGATTTCACCGTGCATAAGGACCGGGTGAACGACGTCTGTGCCAACGGCGAGGACCTGATCAAGAAGGTGAGAGGAACTTGAGAGGACCTGGACGGGCTCACCATCCCTGGTCCTTGACACTCCAAGATAAGGGCCAGGGGCTGTTCAATTCGCTTCTGCTAAGATCAGAGAGGACCCTTGTAGCTGGAAGTCTATGGAGATTCTCCATCTTCCAGGTTGTCTCAAAGGTGCTTTTTTCAAGAGGCATCTGGACTTCCTTGGTTTTTTCCCCACAAGATGTTTAGCTTCCTGATCTGACCCCCCTCGTCCCACACCAACACACACTCCGAGCCAGAGATACTTTCCAGAATTTATTAACAGACAGACAGGTCCTTGGCAGCAAGCCGGCACAGATAANTTGCACTCCCTTCCTACAAATTGTAAGCCGCCCTGAGTCCCCTCAGGGAAAAGGGCGGCCTATAAATGTCAAATAAAATGAAATGAAATGAAAATGAAATAGAAAGGGGAAGGAGAGAAAGGGGGAGGGAGAAAGGGGGAGGGAGAAAGGAGGACAAGTAGGGAGAAAGGGGGAGGAGGAATAGAAAGGGGAAGAAGGAGAGAAAGGGGGAGGGAGAAAGGGGGAGAAGAAAGGAGGACATGTAGGAAGAAAGGGGGAGCAGGAGGAAGAAGAGAAAGGGGAAGGAGAGAAAGGGGGAGGGAGAAAGGGGGAGGAGGAGGAGGAAGGGCCTCCTACCTTCTTCCTCTCCATCCTCTCCTGCAGGTTCTGCTGCATAATCCGCTCCCGTTCCTGCCGCTGTTTCTCGGCCTCTTCGAAAGCCTTTGCCTCGGCTTCTTCCCGCTAAAAGAGGAAAACCGGCGCGGTGAGTTCCCCAGGCCCCAACATGTCCTCTGCGAAAGGGCCCGAACGTCATTTACAGACAACGAGTTACGCCAGGAGTGGTTACGGCAGCGAAAGACAGCCGGAGCTCCCAAATCTTCACTTGGGTCCTGCGTTCGAGTCACACACCCAAGAGGGGAAAGCCTGGATTTAACTCCGCCACTGCTGCTTGGCGTTACGCCGCAATTCCCTGGGTGGACATTGTGGCCCAACGTCGGGAGGGTGGGGGGGCAGGCTGAACAAGCCGCAAAGGATGCCCCGCTGAGACCCCAACCTGCAGCTGAAGCTCCACCAGCTTCTCCTGCTCTTCCTGCTCCTTCTGAATCCGCTCCTTCTCGGCCAGCTGCTGCTGCTCCTCTTCTTCTGCTCTCTTCAGCTCCTCCATCTCTCGGAGGGCGGCCTCCTCCTGCGCCTGCTTTTCCTGGGCTAAGCTGGCCAGCTCCTCCTTCCGGATTCTAAGAGCCCAAAGCAAAGGGAGGGGGGGAATGGGTAAAAGCTCGCCTGGGCAGGCAGGCCAGCCTCGTGCAGCCCGGTTTGCAAATGCCTGGCCTCTCCATCGGCAGCACCGAGCCCTCCTGTTCCCAGGCCTGGGGATGGTGTGTCGGTGGAGCCCCTGTTGTGGGTTTGTGGTTAGGGTTGTTTTGCATCTGGGCTGATGTGTTTTAATGCTTTTCACTGTTTTGACTGTAGATTTGGAGGGGGTTCACTGCCCAGGCTTTTGGGTGGCTTGCCATATGTTGAATAAATCAACCAACCAGTAAACCCAACCAATCTACCAAGCAGTCAAGCCAACCAACCAGTCAACCAGTCAACCATCTAACCAACCTACCAACCCAAACCAACCAACCATTCAAATCACCCAGCCAACCTACCAATCTGTCAACCCAAGCAACTCAACCAACCTGTCAACTCAACCAATCAACCAACCTGTCAACNTGCTATTGCTATTGCTATTGCTATTGTCCTCCCCAGCCCCCAGGAGCACTCTGCAGGCTTCAGCAGGGCTGGGGCAAGGCACAAACATTCCTGTTTTTGTGGAAAACGAGCCATTTTTCACCAAAACAGAGGCATTTTTGCCTTCCCCCCAGCCTCGCTGAAGCCTGCAGAGTGCTGTTGGGGGCTGGGGGAAGGCAAAAACGCCTCTGTTTTGGGGGAAAACTGCCCATTTTTTTGCAAAATGGAACGCGGGATGGAGCTTCAGGAGGCCAAAAATGGCTGTATTCGGTTTATAAGAAGCACCAACATTTCCACACTCTTTTAGGGGGGGGAAGGTGCGTCTTATACTCCGAAAAATACAGTAGGTGGTTCAGGCAGACGATTGTGACATGCAAAGACAAGATTTAGAAATGTTGCATTCCTCTTGTCAGAGAAGGCAAGAAAAGTAGCTCAGATGCCAAAATACTTTGCCTGGGCTTGGATATTCTACTTGGTGGGTAGGTGCCATAATCTTTAGATGGCTTCGTGTAACTTGAAATGGCACCATTCAAAACGAAGGACAATAAATCATGTTTTAATGGGGTACACACAGTCCCAAATGCAACAAGAATAAAATGAATTATGTGTCATTTAGGACTGGCCCTACCTCTTTAAAAAAAAACACCAGGTAGAGTTTTGGTGGGGAAAAAACATTCCGATGAAAAGGAAGTGTCTTTTCCCCACTGAAATGTAGACTGTAAAGTCAAATTTGTGCTCCACCCTTGAGATTGGGGGATGACTGGTAGCCAACTCCGGAGATAATTGAAAGTCAAAACGTTTGAAAGAAAGAATCGGCTGGCCTTTTTCATGAAAATTTTAGAGTTCAAACCCACAAGGCACCTTGCTTACGTCCAGAATCAAAGACCGAGTGTCCTCTTTAAAAGCTGATGATCTTCTCCCTTACAGTGTCCTTCTCACTCGAGATACTCCACTGATCCTGGGTTCAGATTGGCTACCTGGCGAAGGAATAGGACAGGACTTACGGAAAAGGCAGGGGAAGAAGTAAGTCTGTGGAATGTGTAACTCATTCTAAATGTGGACAATGAACTGTCCATCTTTACCCTACCATCTTCTCTGAACATGAGAGGCATTGACGAGGGATCAGGTAAGGGTTAGCGGCACCAGTGAGCTAGTGAATCTTGTTGGGCACACAATTTTTGTTTTGTTAGTTGCAAAGTCGTGTCCGACTCATCGTGACCCCATGGACAATGTTCCTCCAGGCCTTCCTGTCCTCTACCATCCTCTGGANGTTGGCAGAAGCTGGGACAAGTAACGGGAGCTCACTCCATTACACGGTGCTAGAGATTCAAACCGCTGAACGGCCGACCTTTCTGATCGACAAGCTCAGCGTCTTAGCCACTGAGCCACTGCACCCCCTTTGTGTTAGAATACACTTTACTAAATCAAGTTGATTTGAAGCTGAATTTTTGGTAACCAGTTAAGCTTAGTGCATGTTGCATCGGATTTCTATTTTATTTTGGAGTGATGGTTTAACGTTTTTTTATGACTCAGTGTCTTGGACAACCTGAGAAGATTGAGTCAATAACACAACAAGGCAAGCTTATTGTGTGTAGGCAATCCTAATATTGGATACCCAACTGAATTATGAATACCCAATTGAATATTGTCAGTTTATCCATCCATTGATGTAGAAGAAGATGGAAGATGATAGAGGTCTTCCTCTTCGGTTCCAGAAACAAATAGATGGGGTCGATGAAAGGGGGCAGGTTAGGAGAACCTAACACAAGGATTGGAAGTAGATGCCACTATTATAGCAGAGACTTGTACAAAGTCTTAATCTTGACCCATAGGGAGCGTGAAGGTTGTGTTAACCTTTCAGACAACATGATGAACTTCAGAGTAGTGAGATTTCATGGGTATCTATCACCACAATCCATGAACTTTTGAGTTGCTACCACAATATATGTTCTATTTTATCCCCCCCTATTTCTTGAATACTCTACACATTGGTCATCTCAGAACTGAGTGTTTCCTTCCTTTCTGATTGTGGTTCTGAAAGGAAGTCAAGAAATGGGCTTCCAGATTCTTTCCAAATATTGGGTGTTGAGATGTGCTGATGAGGCAGGTTTTGTTACCTTCTCTATCTCTCTCAACCAGGGTCCCCTCAGGAGAAGTCCAAACTGATGTTTACCATGTACGATATCGATCGAAACGGCTTCCTTTCAAAGGAAGAATTCTTTCGGATGCTGAGGTATCTTCTGCTGGTTTTTGTTATTGTAACTGATCCTTGGTGGAGAGAGGCTAGATTCTCCATTTGCAGGCATTCTATATTGTACCTCTGGTCAGTTCCTCACCTGAAATTCAGCCTTTATACAACTGGGGCACAGGTGGTATTCAGCAGGTTCTGACCAGTTCTGGAGAATCGGTAGCGGAAATTTTGAGTAGTTTGGAGAACCAGCAAATACCACCTCTGGCTGGCCATACCCCCATCTATTCTCTGCCTTCCGAATCCCAGCTCATTGGGAGGAAATGGGGATTTTGCTCTTACCTTCNACAGGAGCTTCCTGTTCTTTCTAATAGCAATTATCAATCGATACCGCTCACCTTATATTATTTCCCCTTCTGTTGTATTTCATTTGGATTTCACCCTTCTTAACCCTCTTATTTTACTCATAAGTATTGTTTTTTTGAGTTTTGTTATATCCCTTCATTGATTCTTGTTCCTTTCCTCCATCCCCCTATACCATTTATCCCAAAGCTGATAGAATTCTGATTCTTCTTTTCCCTGGATTTCTTTAGTTAGTTTGTCCATTTCAGCAGAGTTCATAACCTTTCTTATTATTTCATCTGTTTATGTTCTCATTTATACACTGGAAAGTTTCCCATCTTGCCTTTTAGTTGCCTTCTTCTTCTCAACCCCCTCAAGGCACCTTAGGAAAACTAAAATAGCATCCAGGATTATTTCCGTCAAACCCATAATTGTATGCCAATTGTTTAACAGCAATAGGAATATGGTTAATAAAAGCTATCCAGGTCACCATGGAAAAGACCTTGTTGTAAATATCTAGGCCGTTGATGAAATCAACAAACATCTAAAGTATTCTGAATATTTTAAGCAATATCTTCAAAATTAAAATGTGGAAGAGCAGCATAGGGAAAGGTGGCCTTTTAGGTGCCTGGGTCTTGGGTTATGAACAATAGAGCATTCTCAATTGTCTGAAGATTGTCTCCCTCGGCTATGAATGCCTCATCTCCCATTTTTGTTCGTAGGTGTTGCAGTTTAAGATGGAAGCAGAGTGCAGGGACTTCCTGGGACATCTGAAAACCTACTTGGAGGGGAATGAATTGACTCTCCAAGTTTCCATGATGAGGGAACAGCAGCTGCTGAAGAAAGCAGTAACGAAGGAACAGAGAAAAGAAATCCTGGAAATTTTTTTCCGGCATTCATTTGCTCAGGTAAGTGGGGAATCCGTTCTTTCTCCTCCTTTTATTCCTCCTCCTCCTTCTACTTCTCCTCCTCCTCCTTTTCTTCCTCCTCCTTCTGCTTCTCCTTCTCCTCCTTTTCTTCCTCCTCCTCCTTTTCTTCTTCTTCCTCCTCCTCCTCCTCCTCCTCCTCCTCTTCTTTCTTTTCCTCTATCCTTCTCTGTGGCTGCTCCGACCCTCTGGAACGAACTCCCCGTGGAGATTCGAACCCTCGCCACCCTCCAGGCCTTCCGCAAAGCCCTTAAAACCTGGCTGTTCCGACAGGCCTTGGGGCTAAAGAACTGTTGCCCCCGTCCCGAATTGGTATGACTGTTGTGTTTTAATCATGCATTGTTTTTTATGTC